CCGCCAGGTTAGGTTTGCGTCCCGGTTTGAGCTCCACGTTCGGGAAGTCCCTGATGCCGCACACGTGCTCATTCGGGCAGTTGTCCGTCAGCATCCTGAACGAACGCCACATACCGTTCCCCATCATGCTGTAGACCTTCCTCTCCTGCACCTTTGGCTCCCCGTGTTTCGTAACTGCGAAGATGAAACCGCCTTCCCATTCTGACGCGCCGTCGTCTATCGCGGTGATCGCTCGAACTCCTGCCCCCACCTGGCTGGCAGAAGGTCCTGCTGTAGATGGTGCTGGACTTCCTGGTGGTGGTGTGCTGATGTTGCTCCAGCCGTCGTAAATCGTGATTTCGTTGGCTCCTCCTTGCTGTCCTTTCTTGACCTTCTGCTTACCCTTGTCGTAGCAGGGGCTCCCCTGTCGATGCCAGCAGCCCCTTGCACAGCGCCCCTTCTGGCCACAGGTGTAGCAGTAGCGAAGCCTCGTCCTAGGTAGTTACTCCTGTCGTACTCCAAACTGGCTGTCGCGCCGCTGCTGTCCTGGCCGTGGGATCCGCGCCCTTGCCCTTCTGGCCTTTGCTCATGTTCTTGCCTATCTGTCGTCTTTACCTTTACTTGTGTCGTCCTTGCCCTGGCCTTTGGGATGCTGCCGCGTCAGCGCGTCCACCTCCATGGCTCCTTAGGCTCGACCTCCTTTTACCGCCTTCTGCTCCTGGTCCTGATGGGCTTGGCCACTTCTGCTGGTGCCCGTCCTCATACACCGTCGCCGCCAGCAAGTGCTGCATCGTGGTGCTGATCAGCTCGTCCTGGTGCTCTGGTGTTCTTAGGCGCCTTCTGCAAGTAGACTCTTCTTGGCTCCTGCGTTTAACACTTCTCCGGGCGCCGTCTCGAAGCGCCTGACGTCGCGCTCCCAGTCTGCGTGGTGCTGCTCGAACCCCGACAAATCCGAAGGGAAAGGCTTCACGTTGAGAACCGCCGTCGTGATGCTCTGCGCCCTCATGGCCGACGCGGGCTCGCAGCGCTTAACCAAGGCTCGCCACGCCAGCGCCGAGTTTTGCTTCTCCACACTCCTGATCAGAATTTGCTCGCTGCCCTTCACCGTCATGACCAGCGCGAAGAACATCTTGTTCGTTGCCGAAGCTCCCTCGGTTCCCAAACGATGCGAGGTCTCCGCCATGCTGATGTCTGGATCTCCACGCTGCTCGGCCGCCTCCAGAAGATTCAGAAGCTGAGCCGTCTGGCCGCCGAAGTACGCCCTCATCACAAAGCTCCACTCCGTCCAGTACTTCTCCTGGCCGTCGAACGTTGGCGGCTTCAGCCCCAAACCCTGCCACTCAGCACCCGGCTCCGTCATGGTCACGTAGACCTCGTCCTGCACTCCTGTGGTCACGTAGACCCTCGTCCTGCACTCCTGTGGCCCCGTAGACCTCGTCCACCTGCTCGGCCAGCTGGTTGCCGTGGATCGATTGTCCTGGCTGGCCGGCTGCGGCCGCGCGGGCAATGGCCAGCGCCCTGTGTCGCGGGAGGGGCGCTCAGCGGGAGCTGGCCGTAGCCAGCTCCGCTACCATGACAACTTTTGTGCCAAAGAGGCTGCGGAACGGGTAGCGTATCGGGCTCTCGTGAAAACGTGTTTAATTAAACCCGTTCTATCTACGGTTTCCCTCAACAGTGAGGGTTTCTATTTCGGTGGATCCGACTTCCGTCCGCGCGGATCCGGTTTCGGATGTTCTAAATCCGCGCCGGGTCCTATTTTGTCAAGGCGAATCCGATGTATATCCCGATTTGACTGTGTATTAGCAAACTGGAACGGAGAATCTGGAGAAATCGGATCCGCGGACCCTGGAACCCGCCCGTGTTACCCATGTGAAGGTTCTACGGGGGAGGGGGCATCGGTCATCAACTTCCCAAGATTGGCCCTGCGCTGTCTCGCGCACTCCCAATCAACTTTCCGCGAGCACGTCCACCCAACATGAATAATTACATCTACCACCTCTTGGTTGCTGTGCGCAGCTCGCCACGACGCCGTCCATTCGCCGGCTCCGATGTTACATCGCGAACTCCTGACCGCCCCGTCGCCGCTTCGTCGCCACCCGTCGTCTGGGCCTGCTTGCAGCTATGTTGCCGCCGTCGCCGCGCCGTCGCCGCCTCGTCGCCGCATAGTTGGCGCACCACATATATCCTTTGTTCTACAAAGCGGATTCGGATCTACCGCCACCCCTTGGGATTATCCCCCGCACATGGTATGTTATGTTCAATGTACAGCTTATCCTGCCCCATCGTTCATTCGAAATATGAACTCGGACCATTCCAACCTGGCCGGGTTCGACCTCCCCACGCCATCCTCTGCACAAACACTATGCGCGCACATTCGTGCCATCGGCATGATAGGCATCGGCATGATAGGCATCGGCGCCGTCGTTGGCCTTGCCGTCATCGTCATCATCATCACCATCATCGGTAGTATCATCATCGCGTCTACCGTTGCCGACGCCTCCATGGTACCGCGCCCGCCCAAATCACCGACTCGCACTTCAGTGCCCGTTCGTCAGCGTGGCCTACGAGACGCGCTGGGAAGTGCCCAGCGGTCAGCGCCTCCGCGGCTAGGGCGGAGAAGACAGGCAAACCTATGGAGGGTGAGGGGTGAGAGGCAGATGTGAGAAGGCAAAGGCAATCGGGAAATGTGTGAGGCAGGGAAACCGCTGGCGACGAAGGATGTTGGACAAGTCGACTCAAACCCCCAGCCAAGCTGGGACCCAACGCAATGACGTAGAACATATCCCCGAGGAGACAATTACAACCCTCTGGGCAAGCCTAGCTCAGAGACTCCCATAGGGCACACAAATGGCGGTTGCCTCTGTCAAGGCCGCTGCAGTTGAATTATGAGAAGCGGTGAGAAGAAGACAGGAGGAAGGAGGCAGGTATGCTGTCGAGGAAACAGGATGAGGGGAGGAGGATTGGAAGGAGACGGGCGAGAGCAGATGGTCAAAGTTGGTCATCTGCCACCTCTGCCTTCCAGCCGCCTCGTTCCACGCAACAGATCAGCCCTGTGATGACCTTCCTCTTCTTCGATCACGCTGGCGGCGTCCTGGAGACAAGTGGACAGCGACGACTGCTGACGTAAAACAGCTGGCGGCCTAGCATGTGCCCCATCAACTGCATGGCGGTCGACTTGGGCAGGTCCAGCCCTGATCCCCCTCTCCCTCCCCGCAGGGGGGGAGGAGAAGAGACAAGGAGGAGTGAGGAGTGCGGAGCGGGATGCAGAATGAAGGGGTCAGCGGGTGCAAAGTTGGCGTTAGAGATAGGAAGGGATACGGTCGCTACCTCCTCCGAAACGTCATATCGTGTTTGGTGCGTGGTGGAGGACGACCGAGGAGGAGGAGGAGGAGGAGGAGGAGGAGGAGGAGGAGGAGGAGGAGGTGAAGGAGGAGGAGGAAGAACCATCACCTGTTCGCTAGGGGGGAGCTGTTACAAGCAAGGTGAAATAGTGCAGGAACAACAAGCCATAACAACATGAAGGCAATCCCGAACCGGGCCCAAAGGAGTCAAGGGCCTACACATCTTCAAACGCATGCAATGGGCAATCGACATGTGTTCCCCGTCCGTGTCTGAGGAGGAGGAGGAGGAGGAGGAGGAGGAGGAGGAGGAGGAGGAGAGGGGGGGGGCATCTGGCCAACTCGCTAACTGTTCTTTCGGCCACGCGTGCAGCCTTGCCTGTCGTCCTTGACGAAGTGCAAGAGTCAATCGCGTTCGGTGAGTGGGCGGCCCTCCTTGAAGGGGCCCTGGGACAGACGAATAAATACACACAAATAACAGGATTCGCCATATTTTCACATATTTTCAAGGTTTTTGTCTTTCCCCCCACTTCCCATATGTTCCCATATTTTCTTGGAAATCGACGATTCATTCTGTCTGTGTGTTTTTTCCCTCCTGACTCCTCCTCCTGCCCCCCTGCGTGGGTGGGTTTGCCTCAGCTGCGCTCAGTCAGCTTGCACTCATTCAGCTTGCCTGCCACAGATTGCCTCAATCGCAATGGCTGCCGCATGGGCTTTGCAAACCGCGCTGCGGGCGGGTGGGCGTGGGATGTTTGCAAGAGCATGTGATGTGTCAACTCGTTTGTAAAAATGAATTGCACCACGTCGATTGCACAACATAGCTTGCTCCACCTCTATCGCGCATCATATACTGCTAGACACGCACACTGTTTGGGGTTCACGCTGGCGAGCAAAGTGTGTTTGAGATAGTGTCGCCAGCTCACTGAATCATACACCTCCTAACACATTGATATTGCAAAGCCAACTTGCCAGCGTCTCGCGTCCAGGTTCACCTGGTGTCCTTTGACAAGGCGGGGGAGAGGAGGATCACGTGGGGGAAGACTTTTCATCGCGCGCACACAGCGTCGCCGATGCGCGCGGCATCCGGCATGCAGGAGACTCGACCAATTCAGGGGAGAACGAATAATGCTCGGCTACACGCAAGAGTGACCCAAGGCAATGACGACCTTCGGGGCCAAGCTTTAGGGGGGGGCCGCGGGGGGGGGGGGGGAGGGGGGGGCCGAACCCGTGCGCAGAAGCCGCAGCTGTCGCATCGCGCTCAGCCGTCTGGGGGCCCGAGTGTGCCCGCACCAAAAGTCGCTCCGGTGAAAGGTCGCTCTTGCGTGTATATAGGGGGACAAAAAGTGGCATAAACATAAAAACTGGGAGGTCCGGGCCGATTTCTCGGATCGGCGCTGGGCCCCCCCGGCGGCGCCTCCGGCGCCGCCCCTGGCGCGCTCCGCGCGCCAGGGAGGGGGGTCCAGCGCCGATCCGAGAAATCCGCGCGGACCTCCGAGTTGTTATGTTTGTGTCACTTTTTGTTCCCCTACTCTTACGTGTAGCCGAAATGCTCACTGCGTCCGTCCAGGGGCCTGCGCGGGCCAGCGGCAAGAGGGGCCCTGTGCGGCGGCGCGGCTGCCTCGGCCCTCGCCGCGGGGCCCCGCCGAGGCCCCCACCGAGGGAAGGCTGCCTCCGACAGGGGGCTCACATCCAGCGCGCTGCCCGAGCAGTGGCTGCGAGGCGGTCCCCCCCGCGGCCACGCCTCTTCCTCTGCGGCCAGTCTTGCGCGTGCGCGGCATTCTCCCCCGCGGCCGCCGCCGCTCCCGAGGCGGCCCGCGGCTTGTTAGCCGCCCGCTGCTGGGCGCCCATGGCGGCCGCGTAGGCCTCCGTGATCTGCTGCAGGGACAACACGCCGAGCGGCCGGCGGACCTCCGCCTCAGGGCTCGAGGCCTCTCGCGGGCGGCGAACACATCCGTATCCGCGCCCTCGCTGCCTGGATTCTGGGGCCCGATCCCGCGGATACGCGGTCGCAAGTAGAAACGCTCCGCGCGGGGGCATCCGCGAAACAAGAACGCCCCATAGAGCCTGGCCCGCGAGGCCACGGACCCAGATCACGTATCTCGCCCACGGGCCTCCGCGCCCGCGCCCGCGCCCGCGCCTGAAGGCGGCGGCGATGGGCCCCTGCCCCGCTGGCCGGCAGCAGCGGGCGCCCCATGGGGCTCGTGCGGCGGTGCCTCGGGCGCCGCGGGCCTCGCCGCCCGCTGCTGGGGCGGCCGGACCTCCCCCAGCCGCCGCAGCGAGCTGCTCGTCGAGCGCTCTCTCCGCGGGGAGGCCGCGCGGCTGCGGGGGCTGCCGCCGGCGCACCGCGGGGAGGCAGGCGGACTCGCGGCGGGGCCCGGCGGCAACCACGGCGAGGCGGGGAGGTCTGGCGGGCCCGCGGTGCGCCGAGGGCTCTGGCCCTCCTCCGCCGCGCGGTGGCCCTGGCGCTGCGGCGGGCTCGGCGACATGGCCTGGCCCGGCCCCCGGGCAGGCGCGCGGCACCGTGCGCGGGGCTCCTCGAGGTCGCCGGAAGAGGCGCTGCCCTGCACGTGGCCGCCCCGCCTGCCGAGCTGTGCGCCGGCGCCGGGTCTGTCATGGCCTCTGGCCCCAGGGGCGCCGCCCGTGGCGCCGGCCGTGGCCATCCCCTCGTCGAGCGGCACGTGCTGCCCCAGCTCCGCGCGGAGCCTCAGCAGCTGCTGCCCGCACGCGGCGAGCTCCAGGCAGAGCGCGTCCAGGCTCTCGCGGAGCCCGCGGTGCTCCGCCCCGCCGCGCGGCGGCAGCAGCGCCCCGCCCGCGCGGCCGCGCACGCCGCGGAGCTCCTCCCGGAGCCCGCTGACCTGCGCCCAGAGCCTGCCGAGCAGAGCCTCGCCGCACGTGCGCGCAGCGGCGCCCGGGCCCGCGGCGCCCACGGCGACGGTGGCCTCCAGGTCCGCCTCCGCGGCGCCCGCGGGCTCCGCGCCGGGCGCCCAGGCGCCCCACGGGCAGCCCGCCGGCCCGCGGCCGCAGTGGTGGCCACACGCCGCCGCGTGGCGAGCGCACGCCGCCGAGGCCTGCAGCGACTGCAGGGCGGCGGTGGGGCTCACGGCCCCCCTGGGCAGGGTCCGGCGGACCAGCAGGGGTGAGACGAGGCCGACGTGCCCCGGCGGAGGCACCGCTGGGACGGCCGCGGCTCCAAACGCAACGGCAGCTGGGAGGCAGACGGGCTGGTGGTGTGGGAGGCCAGGGAGGCGCACATGCGCACCGACTGCGGTCGCCCGAGTGACGGTCGATTTGCGATGACCCCCTGCGCCTGTGGCGCCGCTCAGGGATCCAGTGGGGGAGCGTCGGGTGGCAACTAAAATCCGACAGCGCTGTAGCGTGTTTCTTGACGCCGACTCCGACTCCGAAGCGCCCGATCTCGAGGAAGAACCTTCCTGCTTTCGGAGTCGAGCTCGACTCCGAGCAACACGCACACGTGCGCACCTCCCCCCGGGCCCGGATGCCGCCTGAGATCTGCCGCCCGCGGAGGACGGCCGCAGCTGCGGCCGAAAGGACACCCTCCAACCTGACCTCTCACGCCAGGACTTCTGCCGGCGGGGTATAGCTTTTCGTCCCGGGCCCAGGCTCGGTGGCCCTGCGGGCCCGACGAGGACGGGCCACGCGAGGCCCAGACCGAGCGACAGCCTCGGCGGGATCGCCCCACGGAAACCCAGACGCCGACGGAAAGCTCCGCGGTCTCCCTGGCCTCCGATGCTGGTGGCCGGGCGGCACGCAGGCCGCGACCGCGGCCGCGACCCCGCAGGGCGGGCCGCGCGGCGGGCCGCAGGGCAGCTGCGGCGCGCCGCCGCCGCACGCGGCCCACCGCGGGGAGCCCTGGGCGGACCGCGGGCGCGGGCGCGGCGAGGGCGACCGCGGCGCCGCCGCGCACACGGCGCTCCGCCGCCCGAGGCCGGCGACGCGGCCCCGGCCAGCGTGCGGGCGGCGGCCGCGGGCCACGCCGCCGCGCCCGCCGCCGCCGCGGGTGCGGGCGCGACGCCTGGCGGGAGGGCCTGCATGGCGCGCCGCCCGCCCCAGACCTCCACCCAGCCTGCCTGCTGCTCGACGCCCCGGCGCCTCTGTCCCTGGACCTCTCGGCCCCTGCTGGGAGGACCGCGGGGGCGGGCCGAGGGGATGGGGGGGGGTCCAGGAGCGGATGCCAAAGGGGGGCCAGGGCTGAGGGGGTAGGGGATAGGGAGGGCTGAGGGGTTATAGGATCTGGCCTGGAAAAGTTGAGAAGCGGGGTACGGGTTACGTGTGCCCCGAGGCACCCAAGATGCTCCCCACACGTTCCAAGAGGCCCCCCCGAGGCGCACAAGACGCCCAAGGGCCCCCCAGGACGGCCAAAAGACCCCCAATACGTCCCAAGAGGCCACCAATAAGCGCCCAGTCGACATCTCAACAGGCTCCGAGAGGCATCCAAGAAACCTCTGGCCCTTTTGCTCACCGTCCTCCTCCTCCTCCTCCTCCTCCTCCTCCTCCTCCTCCTCCTCCTCCTCCTCCTCCTCCTCCTCCTACCCCTCCTCCTCCTCCTCCTCCTCCTCCTCATGCTCCTCCCTTCCTCCTATTCCGTCTCTTCCTCTTCCACCTCCTCCTCCTCCTCCTTCTCCTCCTCCCCCTCCTCATCCTCCTCCTCCTCCTCCTCATCATCATCATCATCAACATCCGCATCATCATCAGCATTATCATCATCACCATTAGCACCATCATCATCATCGTCATCATCATCATGAGCATCACCAGCATCATCATCATAACCAGCATTATAATAATCACCATCATCGTCATCAGCATCAGCATCCTCATCATCATCAGCATCAGCATCATCATCATCACCAGCATCATCATCAGCCTCAGTAGCATCCTCATCCTCATCCTCATCGTCGTCCTCATGCTCATCCTCATCCCCAGCATCGTCATCACCAAAAACATCATCATCACCTTCACCATCACCATCATCACCATCATCATCACCATCATCATCATCATCGTCATCATCATCAATTTCCTATTATTCTTCTCCCCACTCCCTCATTCATCCATCCAGCCTCCTTCTTATCCTCCGCCGTCCTTCGCACGGTCCTACCGTCCACCTCTTTGCTCCCGCACTTCCCTGATCACCTCAACTCGCCTGGGCATCGTTTTTTGATAGGCCGGTGGGGATACTTTTTTGGTCGCAGCCGCAGGCGAGAGCGCAAGCGGCGAGTCGTAAGTCCGGGGCGCGGGCCTATTAATTAAAACAGGAGCAAACTAGAGCGGCGAAACCTAAACAACTAGAACCGGTGGGGATACTTTGTGGTTCGCGGCTCCAAGGCAAATGTCAGGGAGCGGACGCAGCGTCTGGGATGCGGTACGGAGCGAATTTGCGATCCCAGCCGTCACTGTCGACAGCCGTCCGCACCTGCAAGGCATGCTCGCAGTTGCACATGCACAGTACAAAATTAACTAAATTCGCCGACAAACGCACATAGGCGCAGCAGCGAACCGAAGGGCACGAGCTACAAGTGCGAAGACAGCAGAGTGAGTCGCCGATGCGGCGCCAGACTCGAGCTGACAGTGCGAAAGCGAGAGCGAGCGACCAGCACACACAAGGCGAAACCATGTACAATGGTGAGGCAAAAAGGGGGCCTGTCGCAACGAACTCACTGACGCCACAAGGTGGGTGCACCACCCGGTGGGGATACGCGAACCGTCTAGAATTCACAAGCAAACGTTTTGCTTTTATGTACAATCAGGCAACATCTTGTGTGTTCAGTGTTGAAATCAAGGGTCGATGCAAGCCCAGGTCAGTCAGGCTTTGCAGAATCCTGCAGGATGGATCCTGCCCGCAAGCCCGAGTCAATGCAGCTCTAGCTATGCAGGATCCTGCGAGATCCAGCGCCTTGGCTGACCCCCTTGTGCAGCGAACCCCGTCCCTTGAGCCCCGATAGCGACAGAGGCCTCCTACATGGGGTCCGAGTAGATGGGGTCGGAGGATCGCGCCGCATCGGCGACGTCGGCGAGGCATTGGCGCATCGGCGCCATCGGCGTGGAGCAAATCGGGCTTCACATCGAGCCGTATCGCCGATGCATCGGCGATGAGGCGCGATCCTCCGACCCCATCTACTCCGACCCCATCTGGGAGGCCTGGGGCCCAGAGACAACGAAGCATGAACGCACGAAAACCGTTCCCAGCCCCCCGCATGAGAAACTTAAGACCAATTAAGCCGCGCGCGCGCCCCCCCCCGGCGGCAGCTGGCGATGGCCTCCCTTACAGGGCGCCTACACCCACGCACATTCGCCATACTTGTAAAACGCTGACACATAACACCAATTGTTGCGGGGGCTGGGGTCGGTTTCCCACTGCGCAAAGCAATCCCCCCCCTCCACGGGGCTCCTCATCCAGCTTCTGCAAGCGGTCCTTCTCTTCGTGGCACTTCTGCTCCTCTTGGAGGGGGCGCGCCGCTTGTCGCCAGGATCATGGGAGCCGTACCACGAAAGGTCTGCGCAGGCATGCAGCCATCGTGCTGCCACAGGAGGAGCGCCGAGTCTTGTTCTCTTGGGGGGGAAGAGCTGCCAGGGTGAGGTCCCCACAGCTTGCGTCGGCTCGCTAATCGCCCACAGTTCGCGTCGGCACGCTGAGAGGAGCGAGCCTGAAGGAGGGCGGCGGCGGAGGAGAAGTATCACAGTAGAAGGAGCACTGAATACTGGGAGCACGAGGGCTTTTCTGGCCACGGCGAGCCTTGGCCACAAACAGGTTCCCCGACCGATGCCTGAGAAACGGCCTGGAAACCAGAGCCTATACCTGTCAGTCGGGAGAGGTCGGTGGACACATGCAGTAGGAAGGCGGTTAACGTAGACTGGGCTCGGGCCGGACCGAAAAGCAAAACCGAACAGCAAAAGCACGTCGATTACTTTAGGAAGGCGCTCGAAGTATGTTGGAATTGGGGAGTCCAGAACTACCTACACCCCATATTAGTTTGGAAGACATACATACGCTAAGAACATCGCCTTCGCTCCAGGCGTTTTCTTAAACTGCAGTCCAGGTCCAGACATACAAACATCCCACGAAGAAGAGAAGCTCCCAGAGAACGCCCGGGGTCCAGCCCAGATTCTGGATTCTCTTGGGCGACATTTGGAGTCACGACCTGCGGCGCTCTCCTTCGGATTTCTGCTGGGCGCACCTTCAACGACTGGCGTGTAGGCGAGTACGGATCCCCGAAGCTGCCCG